GACGCTGAGCCTTCAGGCACAAGGGAGAGAAGGGACAGCCGAGGTTGCGGGTATGCTTGAAGGCTTGAAGCAAGGACTAGTGAGTAGAAAGAAATGTCATAAATAATTTAACATCGGACGGAAAGAATGTGCCCCCGCTACAGGAACCTGCCTGCGGTGCCACAGGGTTTCAATCTCGCTACTAATATTGTGCGAGCACAGAAAAGGGTAGGTATTGTTTTCCAGCCGTGGCACGCAGCGCAATCATGAGATTTCCATTTCTTCTTCTTCAGTGATCGTCAATCCTCTGCACCTCATGCTCTCACCCCTCGCCTCCCCTCTCTCTCCTCCTCGGGTCCTCCTTCACCCTCACGGTCCGGGGCCCAAGGAGCACGCCACCTTCGCTGGACGCACCACCTTCTCTCCGATCATGAAGCCCTTGCTAAACTCTCGCGTGATCACGTCCTCCGGGTATTCATCCGACTGCTCTGTGAACATGCAGTCGTGCAATTTGAAATCGAAGGGTTCCCCCACCGTTTTCACCTCCACCAAGCCCTCAGCCATCATACCCTTCAGAATTGCGTCCTTTACACCCTCATAAGCCTCTAAAATGACGGCTTCTTCCTCGCCCACTTGCTTATAGGCCATGCGTGCCCTCTCAAAGTCATCCACGACACTCATGATCTCAACGAACACGTTGGAGCGACCCGTCACCGCCACCTCTTGCGTATCGTTGTAGTACTTTGCCTTCAGATTTTCAAAGTCCTTTTGCATCACAGCAACTTTTCCGTCCCATTCCCCCGCGAGCTCGCTAAATTTCTCCCCCATCATGGCTAAATTCTCGTCGATTGAGGCCATCTCCTTTTCCATGGCCTCTTTCCGCTTTTGAAGAAACGGCACAGAGTTAAATACGTCGTCCACAGCGTTCGTTGCCGGTGCCGCGGTGCTTTTATCTGCTTCTTCGTGCTCTCCTTCAGGCAATTCATGCTCCAGCTCCTCTTCCAACTTGTCTTTACCGGCGTCGTCATCTGCGGCGGCGGCCGACTGAAGAAGTGGCACATGAAACCGTGCTTGGGACTGAAAGGGCAAAATCCATGCCCTAACGGAAAGCGATTGGCTACTTCTACCTTTGGAAATGTGTGTTGCCGGCACGAAGGCATGCACCAATGTGCCGGTGGTCAGGAATAAACCCAGCAACACGGCAGTCGCAGCCGGCTTTCTACCATTCAAGCTACCAACACGTGCTCGGAGCTGTATCATCTTAAAAGTAGCTTCGTCAGCAAGCCAGAAGAATGAACAACCTGCATAGAAATGACAATGATACGACTTTGAGATTTCTCGTGCTGGGCATCAGGGTGTGGTGGGGGTGACCCCCAGCTCTTCGTCTAGAAGGATGTTGCTGTTGCTGTTACTGAGTGGCGAGGGTACGTGTTCCATCACAAGATACGCCATCGCCGCGAGCCCCGCCCCCTTTGCGGTCGACCTCAGCTCTTCATTCCCCTCTAAACACCACGAATTTCACAACCAGAGGACCCCAACTCTTCTCACGATGAGTAGAGGACAGGGTGGCCGCTGGCGAGGGCGATATGATGGGGCGAGTAGGGGAGTAGACCGCGCTTGGGGGAGGGGAGGTCGAGGCTGGGGCCGACATGGGAAACGCGGGCGTGGAGGCTGGAAGGGCGACAGCACAAACAAGCGAAAGTCGGACGAAAGCGCAGCAGAAGAAGGTGGACCAAAACGTCAGTGTTTCTATGAAGATAGGGCTCCGCACTCTGGATCCTATGCCGCAAAACAGCGACACGAGAACGCAGAGGATGGACAGGACCTGCTGGGGAACAAGAAAAAGGTTGCGATGATCATAGGATACTGCGGTACAGATTTTCAAGGCATGCAAATGAATCCAGGTGCGATCACTATAGAAGCGGAACTCGAAAAAGCCATGTACGAGGCCGGGTGTATCAAAGAAGCAAACTTTGGTAGTTTGCAAAAAATAGGCTGGTCGCGCTCGGGAAGGACGGATAAAGGCGTGCATGCGGCAGCCCAGGTTGTGGGTTGCAAATTGCATGTAAAAATGAAAAGCGAGGAGAATGTAGATGAGAACAGGAAGGAAGAGGAAGAGAACGCGGAGGGGACGGGCAAAGGCGGAGCTAATGAAAGTCTTCATGCAGGGAAGGAGGGCGAGGAAGGGTGGAGTTCGATGGAGATAGTGAAGGAAGGAGGACCGCCAATGGGTGCACAAGAAGACGAAACGAGTGACAAGGTCAAGAGCAAATGCAGTGAAAGCGCGGGAGCGGGAGCGTCCGCGACGGGAGAAGGAGGGGAAGTGTCAGCCCCTGTGGGGAAGGTGGAAGGGCGGGAGGAGGGCGGGCACGCCCCGGGGGCAGTCTCCCCGTCCGAGGCCGGCGGTCCTGAGAATATCTCGCACGAAAACACCAGTGGAGGGACGATAGCCGCGCCATTCACGACCCTTTCTACGAGCAAAGGGGACGGCGAGAGCGAGGGCCGACCGGATGCCCTCTCCCAAGAGCCCCCTCACCGCCCGCCACCCGCGCCCGACGCCCTTGCGGCGGCCTTGGAAGCTACTCGGATGGCAATCAACCGGCAATTGCCTCCCAGCATCCGCATACACGGGATTTTGCGGGCCACCAGGGGCTTTAACGCGAAGAACGACTGCACCCGCCGGCGGTACTGCTACTGGCTACCCACCTTTCTCCTGGCCGAGGTGGAGGAAGTGGGGGCCCTTTTGAACCGATTGCTTGC